GGGGGGGTTGAGGACATCTTTTTACCAGCTAAATTGTGACCCTCTGGAATTCAGTTTATATACCCCTTCCCTAGAATTTCCTAGAAGTTCATTGCCACATACCCCTGGAAAATGGCTTTAATCACAGCCCATATCCTGCAGGGTCCGAATTATCGCTAAAAAACAGCTTCGCATTTTTTTGGAAAAATTTCACGTTTAAATACACATTTTGCCCCCCCACGCTATATAAAGCCCTACATTCTGCTAAAAAGCAAACACTTCGGTATTGAAATTGAAAATTCTAAAAATGTGCATGCTCTCGCATTTGTATAGACATTTTGGCAATCCGTGCCAAGTAATTGTCCAAGCAATGTTACCATGTGCTGAATGTCAAAACGTTACGCTTTCGTTGTTTCGTTGTACGTATACGTATGGAAAAGTTTAAATATTTGTAAATTTTATTTAAGTTCTATCACTAACTACCTCAACAAATAGGCTTTAAATAATTCACAAAACCAAATGCTGGCCTTTTATTCATTTACACTATAATTATTTCATAAAAAACTTTTAGTTTTAAATGGATTTAAAATAATTTTTCTGTGCGTGTACGCACGCATATGAAAAACGTGTAACTGGAAAGCAACCTTAACAACACTAAATTTCAATCAATAAACTTTGGTGAAGTCAAGGAATTGCTGTCTTTATACAATATAGATCTTAGGGATACTTCACAATATCAAGCATTTATACTAAAGAAACTTCGCAACTTCTAGAAAAATTGCTTCGCAATTTTACACAATACTCAAAATCGCTTCGCATTTTGCGATTTGCGAAGCGTTAATTCGGACCCTGTCCTGGATTTTGGTTTCTAATCACCCACCCTTGGATTTCTGTGGTCTTTTTCACCCCTCTCCCTGGATTTTCAAGGCCTTTTTTACACATCGGTCACCTCTCCCCTGGGTTTTCTATTGTCCTCAACTCCCCTCCTGTGCAATGCAATCTTATTTATCTGCCATTCACAGGGATTCCATCATGGATTTTTGAATGTAAAACCTGAACTCCTAGCATAATTTATTGTTTATTGTAGATTTTCCACATATATGGGAAATTAGTAAAAACCATGATGTTTAATATTCACCAGGAAAATACCATAATTTAATGGTAATTATTAATCATCATGGTTTTACCAATTTTCTATATGGGAAATCCATAATAACCAATAATGGTAAGAGTTCAGCCTATTTACCAGTGCTCTCCACTTGACAAGCAAAATCATCTGGTGTAGTAAAATAAAGTACCATAGGGCGCAGTGAGTCGCAATGCAACTCAATGGGTTAACCATTGACTTTATTATTTTACTCTCTTTAATGCCAGATGATTTTATTTATCAAGAGGAGGGCACTGGGCACTCATTGGGTTAATCTTTATTGAACAGTAAATATGTTTTAATTAATGTGTGTTTAAATAAAAATGTGTATACATATTTTTTGTACAGGAATTGGACATGATACTGCAAAAATGTTGGTCAAATGTGGAGCTGATGTCATCGCCTTGTCTAGAACCCAGTCTGATTTGGATTCATTACGACAAGAAGTATGCAGTATTTTTTAATTATTATTTGTCCTTGCTGCACTGCCAGCATGCACATAGTTAACTGTCTTCAATATTAGATCTGCCTCCATCAGGCCTTAAAATATCTTTTACAGGGCCATCTGACAAAATGTCCGGTGACGTTGAGTTTGGGTCAGACATATGTCCGATGACCTTCAGTTCAGTTTTGACTCGGAAATAAGTCTGAACGACAGAAATGAATAAATGGTAAATGTTGTAAAGATATTAAATATTTTGTTTCTTTCATGAATACTTATTAATTTCCAAGCCAAAATTAACTTTCTTGCCAGAACAGCAGTATTAAAAAAGACTTCAACAACTTAAGCCCGTTTTCCACGTCACTATATTTCGTTCGTCGCCCCACGCTCGACTACGTTAAAACAACATTTCCAGTTCACCTTTTATACAATAGTACCCTGATTTAACATACAAGCCTCTAGTCCTGGGCTAGGGTACATTTTGATTTACGTCGGACAAAGCTACAGTTTGGTCGGACACCAATACACTTGGGTCGGACAAACAATAAACCTCAGTTTCACTTTGGTTGGACAGAATGTCCAGTGGTTTCCTCTCTACGTCGGACAATTTCACGAATGGGTCGGACAATGTCCGTGACCGACCGATATTTTAAGGTCTGGCCTCCATCTGTTTACAACATACAAAATACTTCTGTAGTGGGGAGGGTATTAGGGTTGGGAAATTTGGGGTTCAGTACCCACCGAATGAATACGATTTCTGATTACTGTAGTTTTCTGAAGTAATATAGATCAGTATTTATGTTGATTCCAATTTTAGCTAACTCTAAAGTAATTTGCCACAGGTTCCACAAATTCAAACAGTTTGTGTAGATCTAAACAGCATGGAAGAAACACGAAAGGTTGTCTCGGGACTTGGCGATATTCATCTTTTGATCAATAATGCCGCTGTGAGCATGTTAGAACCATTTACAGAAGTGACAGAAGAAGCTTTTGATTTGTGAGTAGTGCTGTGAACTTTGATATCAATAATGCATTGCATATAACCCATTAAGCGCCAGTGCTCTCCCCTTGATAAGTAAAATCATCTGGCATTAGAGAGAGAGTAAAATAATACAGTAGGGCACATCAGGGCACAATGCGACTTAATGGTTAACTAGACACATGGGCAGATAGGCCAGTTAACCCCATTGAGCGCCATGCATTGCCCCCTAATACGTCCTACTGTACTTTATTATTTCACGCTGTCTAACAGCAGACAAGTTTACTCATCAAGGGGTGAGTGCTGCCTGGTGCTCAATTCTTTGTTTGCATGCAATCACAAGACTTTTCATCCAAATGATGAGCAATCAAACAGCTTGTGGATGACTTTTCTTTTATCAGAATGGTTGTAGCAAGAAAAATTGAACGGTAATTCATCTTTTGAGTCTTAAACTGTTTCTAAACTCAATCAATACATTAAAATACCTGGGTTTTTGTTATACTGTACCTGCCCATCAACTGAAATCCCAAAATTACATCATTGCAAACAAAGAATTGGTTAACCCTTTGAGCCGCAATGCACTCCAGTGCACCCTACTGATTTTTTGTACTTGTCTAATGCCAGACGATTTTACTCATCAATGGGGAAGTTCTGCAGCTTAATGGATCAAAGTGTATTATATTAAGAGAATATGCTCATCATTATATGTATAACAAAATGTGTAATTTTTTTAAAAGGTCATTTAGTGTCAATGTAAAGGCTGCCTTGTTTTTATCTCAGGTACATAAATTACATCCCTACATTCCACTGCCATTTTCTTTTTTGGGCCTCTTTCATCTATTCATCTGCACTTCTTATATTTAACCACTGAGTGAGTACTTTGGTTGTGAAAATTTCCCAAGTTTTGTGTGGTGCTGCACTCTGGCTCAATAGACAGTCAGGGCACGCCCTTTACCAGCACCAGCTCAGCACCCTCAGGCCCTTAAAATATTGGTAAGAAAACCATCTGACAAAATGTTTGAAGACTTTTAGTTTGGGGTAGACATACGGTCGTATTATGATGTGCAATGATTCTGAGTTCAGTTTTGCTTGGG